TAACTTTTAATATAATGAATTCTAAGGTTTAATTCTTAATTTTATTATAAGATTATAATGAATTTTTTTAAACATTTAATTGGTTGATTCATTATAATGAGATATATTTAATATAATTAATTATTTTAATGTTAAAAATTCATCATATCAAGTATCTACTATATTAAGATTTGACTATATAAACAATAATATATAGATTAGTACATACAAAAATTATGCTGCAGGACTATATAAATCATATGATCAAAATCTGATTTTTGTACGTACTAATCCATATATAACTTTAAATATATTAAATCTTAAAATAGTATATATATCTTTATAATTTAAACTATTTTAATAAATAATAAAATAAATAAAATTAAAATAATTTAAATTACATATTATATTCTTCTGAAAATAAGTAACATATATTATTTACTATAAAGAATGATAGTGATAGATTTAGTTCATTAGATTTATCCAATAAGTGTAATTGAATAGTATAAATTTCATAACTTTAGAATGGATATTAATTGAGATATCATCAAATATTACTTATTTTCAGATACTAATTAATTTGGAAGTTGCTTATTTTCTTTTCAGAAGAATATGATATATTATATATATATAAATAGATAAAATAAATATAAATTTTATATATCAAGTTTTTAAATATTTGAAATATAATGTAAAGTAAATAAATATTATTTTATCTAATTAATTTAAATTTTAACTTTATATTTTATAAATTTTACTTTTTTTATTTTTATTTATTTATTAAAAAAAGAATTATAATTTTACTATAAAACATGAATTTTAAATTTTAATAAATTATAATATAAATAATTTAATTTAAATAATTTATATAAAGGTTTGCTAGAAAAATAAGATTTTGAGCATTTTTTATTAAAATTTTAATTTTTAATAAAAAATGCTCAAAGCCCTATTTTTCTAATAAACTTTCTATATAATAAATTAATAAATATTAAATTATAATAAAAATTTAGGTTAATATATATAGTATATATTCTTATTATCTATATAATTTAAATAATAAAAAATAAATAATCCTTAATTTTGTATTAATAAAAATAAAATAAATAAATAATAAAAAAAAGTAAATGTATAATAAAAATATATAATATATAAAAATATTTCAATCATTTTATATTTATAATACTAATTTTAAATTATAAATTTGTAAATTTATATTTATTATTTGATATAATCTTAAAAAAAATATATAAATAATATTTTTTAAATATAAAATAAATTCTGCTGATACTAAAATTTTTAAAGATAATATTTATTTATTAAAAATTATCTATTAAGTAAAATATGATTACAAAATTAAAAAAAATATTAATTTCTTAATAAAATATAAAATATAAATTTTAAATGTTTTTTAATAAATCAATTTTAAAATCAATTAAAAAAATTTATTATTAAAATTTTTAAAACTCTTTTAAAATTCATATGTTTATGTATTAATTAAATAATCTTATTAAGAAATTTTATGATTTTTAATAATAATAAGAATAATAAGTTATAAAAATTTAATAATAAAAGTTGCTCTTATGATAAACTTTATAATATTATATTATGTGAATTTAATAGCTTCTAAGTAACTAAAAATAATAATTATAATATATTATATATTTATAAATTTAAAAAAATTTGATGTTTTAAAAAATAAATCAGAAGGGAATTTATAGTAAATAAGCAGGCAAATTTGTTTGCAAAAATCTATAAGCTAAGGAATAATAATATAAAACATAAGTTTAATTTAAATTTAAATTACATCTCTTTTAAAAACTTTTATATAAATTTTGCTATAAGCTTATGCTTTTAAACAAAAAGAATTTTTTTTTTTAATAATCATAAAAATTTATGATTAAAATTAAAGATTATTATAATAAATTATTATTGTAAAGCTATTTTATTAGCTAAATTATATAATAAACATTATGGTGATGACGATAAATTTGTATAAAAAAGGGACAATATTAATCATGATACGGCTTTGATTATTTATAATATAAATAAAAAAAATTGTCTTTTGGTATAATTATGTCATTAAAAATGACTAATTACCATAAATTTTTTCAAAATGACATGAGGTTTGTCAAATAACTTTCCCTCAAACGATAGGAAACCAGCCTAATGATCGTGTAAACATCAATAAAACGACTGATGTTCATTATTTTATATTGTTGGCGCAGTAAGTGAGTTGTTGACGATAATCTTCTCTCTTCAAATTCATCCAAGTGGCAGAAATAGCGCTCAATTCTTGCCAAGAGAGGAGTGACATCTAATATTCCTCTTAATAACTTCCAGTTTGCAAATGTCGGTTCTGGCTGTGAGCGGAAAAATGGAACCAACTTGTTTTTTTTTAAAGTCTATTTTGAATGACTTTAGTTAAATCTGCATCATATGAACGATTCATCTATCGTCAGAGGTCCGCGTTGATCCAAAACGTGAATGTGCTGTAATGATTTCCGGAAAAAAAAATTTCTCTTCTGGTTTAAATTGTTACAAGTCCGTGATAGTTCCTTTTTTTAAGCGGGTGGATTGTGTCACATATCATATTACGGTTTCCTCAAACTATAAGTTTTAAGCATTTAGAATTAGTCATGTAATTATAAGAAATCAAAAATTTTGATCAATATTTATTCTTACTTGAATTTCAACAAAGCCAAACAAATTGTTGCGATTCCATGGTTTATTCTTGGTCATGTTACGCCAATTTCTCGAGTTTTCGAAACATGCAGTAAGTGGTTGGTCTATGTTGATAAAACGACTATATGAGAGAAAGGAAAAAAACAAAAAATTAAAATTAAAATGATTTGTTAGTAAAAAAAAAAAAATGGAAGATTCCTTTTACTAAACTTACTCGTATGGAGTTCGCACAATCACGGTTACACCAAATTCGTTACATGCGATAGTTCTGGTTGCCCCTCCCGTTCATTATTTTCTCTTGCGACTTTGTGCCAGAGCAGCCTGGAAAAAAGAAAGATCATAAAAAATGAAGGATGAGATACTTCTAGATTAAACACAAATAAAAAAAACTTCCCAACTTCTCACCTCTCGAGCATTCCATTCCGCAGCTTGCATTCTCATTATCAGGACCTCATCATCTTAATCGTCTGCCTTCCTTATTTTTTCATACATCCATCCGTCTTCTTGTTAATATTAGTCGCTGATAGCTGATACTTATGTAGTCTACGAATATACATAACGGACGGTCACCAGTTTAGACATGTCAACAATCTTTTAATACCATTGTATTTAACACGTAATTTCAAAGATTTTGACGAAAACAGTGATAACAGTGAACAGCTGTCGAAAAAGAAATACGGATAATATCAATATCGGGCAGACTTCGTTTAACAAAAGATAGATCATTAAGTTAATTAGACAAATTTTTTTTTTTTTTGCAGCCTAGATAGTCCGTATGATTCAAAAATATCTTAATTATCATTTACATCGCGAAAAAAAAAGTCATGATGACGCTTAAAAATTCATAAACGATTAGTATCTTCCGTCAAGCGGAACAAAAAGATTTTTACGACGGATATTCGCGCTCCGTAAGGCTGTGCAGACAGTTGCGTGAGTTAGTTTTCCGCGAGAGCTCAAAACCGCAGTAGCACCAAACAGTGCATAATAATAGCTCCCCCTAGTCGTATAACGCCTCCAATCAGTCACGTAAAAGGCCATATTGAAAAAAAATTGGAATGATATCTTACCCGAATATTATTTTATTAATCGCTTCCTTATTTCATCACATCAAACCCCAAATAATTTTTTAACTTTGACACGAGAGGAAAAAATTTATGGACGGCGGCTTGTAATAATACAAATAAGCGGTATTCATCAGGGGTTTCTAATCCAAACACGATAGGGCTAACTCATAACGGATGTCATAAACGTAAAAACAAAGAACGGTAAGCAAAAACATGTAAAATAAAATTTTTTTCCTTTAAAAAAAAAAAAAAAAAAAAAAACGTGTCAATATTTGTCGCAGTATGATGATGTCAACCTTTACACAGCACAGCCCTATCACAAAAACTTACGAGCGTTACACAACGGAGCGGTCGTGACACTGTTTGCAATGAAGATCCGAAAATTATAAATTGTACTTAATTACTTTCAAAAGTATGGAAGTACCTAAAAAAAATTGCTTTTGCTTAATCGGACAGAACTCATCGAACCACTATGAAGGAACCATCATATCAAGAAAAATCCAATAAAAAGTTAAAAAATTACGGTAGATGTAAAGAATGTAAACAAATGAACACTGCGATATTATGGTGTCATGCATGCAATTCCAAGAGATTTCAACAAGGTTTCGATAATTGGACCAGCGGTAACGCTGATATCGATAAATTCATTCGAAATGTTCAATTATCGGCAAAAAAGCCATATAAATTATTAGAATGGATACCTTATCATAAATTTTATGAAATTGAGTACATTGCAAAAGGTGGATTTGGAACAGTGTACAGAGCGAAATGGAGAGATGGATATATTCATAGTTGGAATGTGATGAATCATCAATGGAGAAGATTTCAACCATCATTTGTGGCCCTCAAATGCTTGAATAATTCACAAAATATTACATTTGACTTCATCAATGAAGTAGGTAATTAGATGGATTTTTTATTATTTTACGTATATGGTTACCTTTGCTAATGTAATAATTTATCATCTCGATCATTTAGATTACTATACATAATTACTTAATCGAAGAAGACAATATACAAATCGTTAGATGTTATGGAATAACTCAAGAACCAATTTCAAAAAATTATGTGATAGTCATGAATTGCGCCGAATACCGAAGTTTGCGAAACTATTTGAGTATACATTTGGATTACGAAAAATTTTGGAGTAATAAGATTCATCATTTGAAGGAGATTGCGAATGGACTTGAAAATATTCATGAAAAAAATTTCATTCACAGAGATTTACATATTGGGAATGTAGTAAAATTTATCACTTACACGGCCATAACAGATATGGGATTATGTAAGCCGGCAGATTACAAAGAAAACAAAAGCACAAAAAACAGTGTTTATGGCGTTTTGCCTTACACAGCTCCTGAAATTTTGCGAGGGCAACATTACACCCAATCTTCTGATATTTATAGTTTTGGTATGATCATGTATGAGGTGGTTTCGGGATTTCCTCCTTATTATGATACGGCTCATGATGAATCTTTGGCATTAAATATTTGTCAGGGATTAAGACCCAGATTTCATATCAAAGTTCCCCAATTGATTTTACATTTAAACAAAAGATGTTTGGACGCAGATCCGTTAAATCGTCCAAAGGCAAGTGAAATTAGGGAAATCTTGACCCAATGGGAGAGACAAAGTAAAGATAATCGAACAGAATTTTTTCAGCAATTGAAAGCGGCGGAAGAATATAATAAAAAGTTCTCGACCAGTAGTATACAATCATTCGGTTCGACCTTAACATATGAAACGCATCCAAAAGCCATATATACAAGCAGGTTACTTCACTTTAATAGTCTTCCTGAACCAAGAAATGCTGATGATTATTATGAGCATTACGATAACTTGTCAAACATGGAATATTCCGGTAATTAACTATCTTCAAAAGCCTTTATTTTAGATATAAAAGAACTAATGTTTGATTTTTTATATTAGAATCCTTACAAATCAACTCTTTTCAATTGAAAACAAATGAATAAGCACATAAAAATTTATTTTACAGGTATAAAATCGTATAAAATGAGATCTAACATAAATTCATAAATCTAGTACATGTATAAATCGATCGAACTCGAAATTTCGAACGATGTAAAAAATATCTTTTAGTCCGCTTTCATATTGAACCGCCCCACTAATAGTCTAATGCACTTTCCAATAATATAATGTCGATCAACAAAAGGACTTCAATAGCCCATGAAAATCTGTATAGCCTTAATACTTTTCGCATTTACATTGTCTTATAGTCACGTTTATTCAAACGCCAAAAGCCCAATTGCATTTTTTAATCAACATTCATTTCTTTTAAGTTTCAATTACGATAATTTTATTATTTACCTTTATAAAAAATATACAATAATTTTATCAAACAATACATTAAATATAAACAAACATTTACTATCTTATTTAAGAAAAAAATCAAAAGCGAAATTAATCAAAAATTTTACCAAGTTCTTCACATTGAAATCTAATGGTAACAAAATTATCGGCCAAATTCATTCTATACTTATTCATGCCATCAATATCCCGATCTATATATAATTTACCAAGATTTTTCCATTCAAATAATTTCAAATGTGTTTTTTTTAATTGGTCAAGTATATTTGTCTGCTGTTTTATAGAATTTTGCAAATCGATTTTGGCTGTAAGTCCTGTTATCATCGCCACTCCCGTTGTACATGCTAATGTACTTCCAAAATATTTCTGAAAAAACAAACATTTTACGTAAGGGCAAGTGTAAAATATATATATATATATTTATATAAAGGATAAGATGGCTTACCTCAGCTTTATTGAGATAATTCCTCTTTTTAAGAATGAATCCACCTATAATCAATGCTGCGAATCCGATTGTCCTTATAAAAACCAGAAATTTATATTAATGGAAAGATGATGAAATTTTAAAGTCATATTGATTTTCGCTTACATAGCGGCAATGTATAATTTGGTCGTTAAATTTTTCTCTTGTTTTTCCAATTTTTCCAATTCCTCATTAAATTGTTGATTAATAATCATAATGAGTCTCATTAAATCTTCAGTCGCCCCAACAAAATTTACGAGCCGTCCTATCAAAAAAAAAAAAAAAAAAAGGCTTCAACGCTCGTATACATATTTACAGTACATATAAGCTTTTACATCATGATACTTTACGTTGAAGTCTTTCGTATTTCTCTGAATTAATATTATCCTCCAAAAGAATCAAGACATCCATTATGATTTGGTCCATGTTTGTCAAATGAGCCATAAAATGAGGTTGTTGTGCTTTAAGGATTTGTACAAATTTTGCATCAGTCTCCTTCAGTAATTTAAATGAAAACTGTACTGATTTAAACGCGTTAATCAAATTCCATAAAGCTATAATAATTACAAATCTATAATTTTTTAACTAGATTCGGAAGAAAGGATTTTGAGAATTTTTTTTTTCCTCAAAAAAAAAAAAAAAAATAATAATAATAATAATAATTTGATACTTACACAAGCTCCTTTGGAGATATAATTTTCAACGTGCTTATATAAAAGTCTAGTTAAATCGTTGATGATCTGCTCTTGACCTAAAACCAAATGATTAATTTTTTTGGAATTTAAAGGTTTATTTACGAGACATACAACTTCATGTATTTGACTAAAAAATTCATTTCGCAAATCACGAAAGGTGATAGATTTATCCCTTCTTTGAAATGATTTATGAAAAATCTTTTCTAAATCGTAATTCAATAAATGTGGTGATGATGATTTAATCTTTTCAGACAATTCTTTCATTTCTTGTTCAAATGATTCTTCATCTATAATCGGATATAGTTGTTCAAGTGACGAGGAAGAGGATGTGACTAAAACATTGTCATCGGAAGATGAAACATCGGATAAACTATCGAGCTGTTGTGAAGTTAAATCGACATTCCGATAAAGGGATTTAAACGTAACGGTATCCGATGCAGCCCAGTCAGCAAGTCCATTTTCGGATATATGATAAAATTTTGACGCGGAATTTTTCATATGTCCAATCAAATCCGTTGGTGTTTGATCATTATATTGAAACTTAACCTTAATACAAATGAATAAAAATAATTTAGAATTTTTTTTTTTTTTTAAAAAAAAAAATTAATTACAAACTTACCTTTGCGGATGATCCTTTATATTCGCATACATTTAAATCATAATAATTTCTTACGGAGGGAGGGAATATAGCATCAATCACATAATTAACGTCAATGGGTCCCTAAGATCGCATCATCGAAATTTTTTTTTTTTTTTGCCCAAAAGAATGATGAATGCTGCGTCCACGAGTTTTAACTGCGCATCCCAGTGAGCGTAAGAATCAGTTATAAAAAATACCTTCAATTTAAAAATCTTGAAGCAAGAAAATTTTTTATTTCCTTGTACATTTCCTTCCTCAACACAAACTAATTCATTATTATGCACAAATGCAAGTGGTTGTACATTAATGACTTCATTTATTTCTGTCATTTCCGGAAACGGTAAACTATACTCGGTATCGTATAATGAGTTTATTTTTTCAATGAGAATATAAAAAGGATGTGGAAATCTCAATAAAATTGGATTTGATTCTTTTCGAAGGATAAATATCCGAAAAAAAAAAAAAAATTTGAATCCTTAGAAAGGACTTGAATATGTATTTATATCGTTACACTCAGTAAACATTACAAGCAAATTAGGCTAAAAATGGGTCCATTTCCGTATCCATGAGACAATAACAAGAAAATTATGCGATGCGATAAAATATCATCATGGCGCAGCAATGGTCATTTTTTATGGGAAATTCGATGCACACACCTTTTTCTTTTTCCTTACTTATTTATCCTTACGTTCCTCAAACATATAACTAGTCGGATTGTTTGGTTCCAATGAATTCATAAAGAAAAAAAAAGGAACAACTTTGAATCGATCCTTAACATTAAAATACGTGAGATTCGTTTGAAAAAAAAAAAAATGTTTTTGATTGTCCATGTATTTAAAGTTCTTATTGTAACAATTGAATGTATCGTGAAATTTTTACAGGGATTCTGTAAATTAAACTGATTCTGGAAAGTCATTTAGTAAGTATTCGTCTACTTTGAGCGATCATTCGTGACCCATGGGAAATTTGCCAAGGAGACTAGCTTTATATGCTTCTTTTTGTTTCCTTTTTAAAATCATCTTTTTTTTAACAATTTTTTTTTTGTTTGGATGGAGAATCTTTATCCAAGACATTTTATTCATTTAAAACATCTATTTAAAGTTTTATCCAAGCATTCTTTATACACATTATTACAAAACAAGTGAAAGAAAAACAAAAAGCCCCATTCTCAAGTCACGTGAATCAAACGTTCTCCCTTTTTAGCTAATTCAAGAATACAAGTTCTTCATTCTACAAAGTCCTCTGATAAAGAGGAGACGGATTGGGTGACTTAATCTAAATGACCCTTATCTAAAAAAGTGCGTTTGATAAAAGGCGTATAAAAAAAAGAATGTTCCATGGGTTGATAAAAGGTGAAATTCAAAGTGCACAAAAAAAAAATTTCATTATTAATTAATAATGATCTTCGTCAATAAAGGAACATGTATGAAAAAAGATATAGTAAAAGTGAACAAATGTTTGGGGGAATGAAAAAAGGAACAACCTTTTTATCAAAATAAAAATAAAAATAAATCAATCCAATACATTATTATTTATTTTATTTCATATTTGGGTACATTAATGAAAAATATTTATATTGTTTGAATAATTTATATAAAAGAATTTATCTCCAAATTTGGATAAACATATTTTTTTTCTAAACTGTTGTTTAAAATTAAAATTATTTTTATTTTGTATAAACAAATCAACAGTGACGATAGATTGCATATCATACGTTTATATGTATAAATATATAACCCAGGTGATTGCATTGGATAAGTTTAAAACGGCTATGCAATTTACTATCCTACAAAACTGCATTATGATTTACATATGATCTATTACCATATAAATTGATTCAATAATTCTTTATATATATAAAAAAAAAAAATTATGTATTTCGAAAATTTTTCAGTTAAAATTTTAATAAATTTCTCATTTTTTCACAAAGCACCTCTCTTTGGTTTCTTTTAAAAAAAAAAAAAAAAAAATTTATATTATAAAAACATTTAAGGAATTATAAAAATAATCGAAAAACTTAAAGATGATGCATGTCCACCCTTATAATAACTTTAATTCGTTTGATCTATGCTTTGGAGGTAATATATATATAATTGTTTCATTCATTCATCTTCGTCCATTTTTTTTTTTAAAAAAAAGGGCAATTTTTTTTTATCCATATTTTCTCTCCTTTAAAAGGTGAAAATATTTTAACGAGAATTAATTTTTGTTTCCTCTTTTTCGCTTGTATAATATATAGTAGGTGAAAATTCATCATTCGTTCAGGCACAAGATTTCACGTTTCAACAACAAAACTGGAACTTATGTAATCAATTAATAGATCCATCCATGATCGAGAATAATTACATTAACTTGGACGCTCTCGACTCAATTGATCAAAACTCTGCTCAACCCAATTACGACTTTCAAGATCAAACAAAAAATTCCAATCACGTTTATGCCAAATTCACAATTCCTTCTATAACCTCAATCATATCTCAACCTCCAATAATAACGAATAATATCAACGTTAAGGATTTAATAATCATAGATCAAGTTTTACAACAACAACAACAACAACAACAATCTTCATTAACAAATAATGCATTCTCAATAACACCGTCATCAATCATATCCCCAATATCAAGTCAAACTTCACCCATGGAATTAGATTTTAATTGCAACTCTCATCTCTTAACCAATTCACAACTTCAAAATCCAATACAATCATCCAATTCATTTTCATACTTTGCAACTCCCGATAAAGACACTACAATTTCATTACAAGATATAATAGATGGAACGAAGGTCATGCAGGAAATTTCAAAAGATTCGACAACTTTTGATTTAGATTTGACCCATTTTGACATGGATCTCAATGAAAATTCATTTGAATGGTTAATTCAAGAAAGTTGTACCGAAACGTCAAAACAACTTGACACGTGTCAATCATTAACCGAAAAGGTAAGGTTTATAATAAATCACATTCCCTCTCTCTTTTTTAGTCAAATCTATTAACGAAAGATTCCCTTTTTTGAAAAGGAACCTGATGAGGAATGTCGCTGGGGTATTGATGATTTGATAGAAGAACATATGAAGGAAATGAAAAAGTTTATTCACAATGAGATTTTATGTCAAGAATTATTGACGGAATCATCAAGTTTGGAATTTCAAGATTTATCTCTTGCGAATGAAACAGAAAATAATGATTGTTTGTCGACGAGTTCGATAACAACAGCGATATATAATCAAGAAGTTATATGTCAAGAAGCTGCAGGGTTATTATCAACAACGAACATGTTTATGCCGCAGGAAAATAATTTCTCGTACGATCCATTAACGATTGAAGAAACTCCAAATTTATTTTCAACAAATTTACTGGATAGTTTTATAGATTTGGAATCTCATAAAGCAATCCATAATATAAATGATGAAATTTTTGTATATAATGATGTCCCAGGATGCAACATGAAATTTGAATATCAACTAGATTATTTAAATTGAAGGTTATGTTAGAACCAGGTATAAAAAAAAAAAAAAGCTTTGATAAAAGAAAAATATCTCGATTAGATGTAAATTTCAGGAATTTTCATAGAGTTGAATAAACTGTCGCTGTTTACCTGGTTTAAGAGAATGCTTTGTTTTGTTTTTTTTTTCACGTTAACAGAAAGAACCAAGTTTAGGGTATCTATTTGCATTATATTTGCTAAAATGTAACAACATTTGTATAACTTAAATTATAATCTATTGCGAATATCTATTCTAACATTCATTGTTTGTAAATATTTTCATGATAGGATTATAACAATAATATATATATATAATAATAGAGTAGCATTTATGTAATTATCGTCCATATATGATCATTCGATAAGTTTGTTTTTTTTAAAAAAAAAATAAAGTCTAAATTTACATTATAAAAACGAAAGAGATGATTCGGCATGTTATAATAGTGCTTAATCAAAACAAAAATACGTAATATGAAAAAAGAAAGTTTCGCATATCGTGACTGAGAAATTCTTTAACTCGCTGGAAAGCATGGCTTGAAATGTTCTGTGTCACCTCTGCTCCGATATATTCCGGAGCCGTGATTGTTTAACTGCGTACCAATAGGAACATCGTTATAAAAATAGTAACGGTCGTTTCTTGTTGCCGTTGAATCCAATCATTATCTGACAATCAGACAAAGTGGTTTTAAGCATATTTACATAACGATAAGGTGCATTGGAAATATTAAAAGAAAGAAATTGATTTATTATTGATGACAAAGAATCACAATTGGAATGACGATAAAACTCTCTACATATTGCCAAAGACAGTTAGGGTGCTCAAAAGGATTGAAGTAATCATACCTTTCCAACAGACATTAATTAAAAATATTGTGAAGCAACATCACATGCAAATGATCTTTTTCGATAATCAATCATATGGTTCATTTTCTTCATATTAGCTAGACAAAAAGAAATTAGGATCTTTCATTTATACTATTATGATTTTAATTATATAATACTGTATAAAAATTTATTAATATTTAATATTTTAATTTCCCCGACTTATTGATTGTTTATTAATACATTTGACATAAAATATTTTTATTAAATTTTTTTTTTTTTGTACCAATAATAAATAATTAGGTCATTGATTGCATTCACATACGCGCATAAATAATTTGCGACACGTGTATTAAAAAGAGCCTTGCATATATTCACGGTATTTGTTTCTTGTCTTTGAATTCTTTCAAATATAACGCATGTATAATACGTTAATATATTTAAATATACAAATAAAAAGTTCTTTAACTTAATTTTTCTTTTGCTTTCCCAAAATTATTCAAGAAATAAATGAAAGCAAAAGAATATATGTTAGTCATAATTCTCCTAAACCAATAAAAATATGTTATAACAAAAAGAAGGAATGGATTTTGTTAGATTGTCCAGTTGAACTCAATAATGGAGATGCTTGTTTGTGTTCAATCTAATCCGATAATCTGATAAAGGAGAAACCACTTATAATCATCACATCCATATATATCAATATTTATATATATATAAATTGTCCATGAATTAAAAAAAAAAAGTTTCATCCGTGAATAGCATGAATTGGTGCAGAGTTGGCCCATGTCAAAGGAACTACTATATCACCGACATATTCAACTTCAATATGTTCAATAGCTTCATGCATTTCATCTATCGCTTTCGTTAACTTTGTAAAGAATAATAAGGAAAAAAGTCAATAAATAAAATTCTTCGTTTGGATAAAAGTTTCTCTTGTTCCAACCTACCCACTCCCGATCCTCTCGTGTAACTCCCCCGCTACCCAACACGACATGTGGAGGTAAATCCGTTGCACCACCTTGTGCAGCAGCCTGTTGAGATTGCAGTGACGTTAATTTTTTATGACGCATTTTCGGTAATGTGTCACTCTTCACTTGTATTTTTTGAAGTGTATTTGGATCAAGTTTAATTGAACCTATCAGTTCTCTATAAGAGGAGGAAAAATAAAGGTTGAAACAAAGTCAGCTTAAAGGCATGAAAATTGAATGGACTCTCGTAATAAAATGCTAAATATACTTGTATTCATTCGCACGATCTATTGCCTCTTGTTGTTGTAATCGTTCAGTGGCATGAGTGTTTGATATATCAATAAAGTTCCTAAAGGATAATTAAAATTATAATCATATTAAGAAATTAAGCACGTAAACTGAAGAATTAAATACAAACTCTGCCGTTTGTTGAACAATCTTTTGCAATGCTTCTTGTTCTATGGTGTGGTTAACAGCATCATCATAACGATAATTCATCCTCGCATGCCTAAGATGTTATTAATATTTACATGAATTAGTTAATATTGTATATAAATTAATTATACATAAGAATGTTATCAACAAACTAACAAACGTACGAGGTATCATACGCCGCAGACCCTTCACCAGATAAAAGACGAGAACGTTCGTTCTGTTATTTGCAACGGTAAAAGAAAAGTTAAGCCAAAATTATCATAAAATCATTAAAATTTGAGAAAAAATCTAATGAAATTAAAAATGAAAGCAAAAACCTTTGCATTATCGTCGTCGTCTTTGCTTCCACAACAACCCATTATAATTATATAAAATGGGAAAAAGTGTTTATTAAAAATTAAGTATTAAAAATTATGAAAAAAAGGTATCCTTTTATATTTAGAAGTTGTTTGTTTGTGTCTTACTTATTTTAATGGAAACAGACAAAAAACAAGCAAAAACTTTAAGAATATATGACAAAGTATTGAGGGAAAGATAAGAGAAAGTTATGTAAAAAAAAATAAAAAAAAATAAAAATTGTTAAATTAAAAACCCAAAAGGTTGTTCATGACCAAATAAAAATTCGGTACATCTGGCAATTTATATTTTTATTCTCAAATGCACGTGATATGAGATGAAGATTGTTACTCTAACTTCTTATCACATGATCTCATTTTTGATCATTAATTCATTCGTTAATCTCTAAAGTATCACCTGAAATTTCATCACAGTTTGTATGCTTGTGATACCCTAAAGAATAACAAGATTTTAATCACATCTAGAGATGGATAGATCACTAAATCCTTACACAAGGAAAAAAGTTTAGATAAATAGATATCATTACTTTGGTAGATGGTTTTATTTTAAGAGGGGAAAGTTATTTTTTTTTTTTGTGGGGACGGATTCCCACGGGACCCTCGGATTGTCGAAGCTGATAAAAATTATTTTTTGGGGAAAAATTTTTTTTTTAATTTGGATTGTTTTGGTTGTGGCTAAAAAAAAAAATCATGAGCAATTTTTGATATATGCCTAACAATGTAAAAAAAATTGAATATTGTACAGGTTAATTAACGTCATTAGTCTTTAATGGTTAAACCCTGATCGCGAATTTAAAAAATAACGCGTTTTTTTTATTTCTGATCTGAGCACGTGACTCTTAGCAGATCGTATTATGAAGTATTCATTTTATCTATTATATTTTTTATTTTCTTTATTTAAATTGTTATAACGTTGTATAGGATAGTTTTGATATAAATAGGAGCAGTTTAGAATTAAGTAGCGACAGGTTCAATTCAAGTTCAGTATTAAGTTCGTTTTGTAGTAATAAATCTTATTATAAATAAACTGTTTAGTACAGACGCGCCGACAGAGGCAGTACTATAATTTTGTTTGTTAATCAATTTTTATACATTAAGAAATAATCGTGATGTCAATTGTTCAGTCTAATAAGTTATTTGCGTGTGGTTCAAATGGTAACGGACAACTCGGAATAGGTACGTTCGAAGATACTAACCTTCCTACTGCCTGTAAATTTCTTATAACGAATCAGGAATTCTACGCGAACTTGGAATCAACATTAGATAGTTTAGAGACCAAGCCAAAAATAATTACAGGTGGGGGAAATCACTCTGCCATAATAACGTCGTCTGGAGAATTATGGATGAGTGGATTAAATAATGATGGACAATGTGGTGTCGCATCAGAAGAAAGGATTCAAGGGGAATCTTTTCAATTAAAGCTTAAATCTGATATATTCAGGAAAGTAGAAGTGTTTGGAGAACATGAGATAAGTCAATGGAAATTCGTAAGCTGTGGGTGGAATTTTAGTTTAGCTGTTGAAAACGAAAATGGATACATTTATTCATTCGGAAAAGGAGCTTTTGGAGAGCTAGGATGCGGTGAGAGTGTAAAAGAGACGGGTGGAAGAGGAATTAGAATAAAAGGTGTTGAGGGAGTGGAGAAAGTTGCCTGTGGATTAAGACACGTGATATGTTTGAATAAGAAGGGAAATTGCTTCGGTTGGGGAAGTAACAAATTCGGTCAATTAACAAAATTTGATAAAGACAATGTAATTGTTGAAGAGAATAATAAAAGTGTTCGTAGAAAGAAAAAAAATATATTTTTTGATCCTATTAGAATCTTTCTTGATTTAGATTTAAGGGTGATAGATGTGGCTTGTGGACAGTATCATACGGTGTTGCTGACCCATGATGGAAAAATTTTTACTTTTGGGCTGAATAAATATGGACAATTAGGATATGATTCTCCAGCTAAAGTTCAATTTTCAGACATCCCTAAAAATATCGAGCATGTATCAATTAGCAGAGTTAAAAGCATACATTGTGGATGGAATAATACTATTGTGATGTGTGAAGATGGTAAATTGTTCATATGTGGCAGGAATGATCATGGACAGTGCGGAAAGAATAATCCAAAGAATGAGAATGAGCGAACGGATTTGAACTACTGGATGGACAATCCCGTTCCTTTATACTATTTACCACAGCATTTAATATTAGATGATAAATTCGAAATTGAAGAATGTGTATGTGGATCAGAGCACTCTTTGATCGTATCTAAACTAGGTGAATGTTTAAGCTGGGGATGGAATGAACACGGAAATTGTGGAGTTGGAGATAATGAAAACAGATGGCAGCCTGTAAAAGTAAAGATAAATAATGCTACGGTTAATAAAGTAGGTGGAGGATGTGGAAATTCTTGGATTTGGATACAAAACGCGAGCAAGTCACTTGTCGCTGAAGGGTAGAATCTAGAAAATTTCCTTCCATGTCATATGACTATCTAATGAGCCAATAAAAAGAGTTTTGATCAACAGCCCCCCCCCCCCCCCCTTTCTATTGATAAAAGAACACATAAATAAAAATAATTGATCTAATCTAAAAGATCATAATAACCAAGTTTGATTAAAGCCGATCAAAATTAGTTGGATTCTAGACTTTTTAAAAAAAGTTTATTGAACGATCTTTGATAATATGAAGGCTGGAGCTTTTTTTAACAATATTAGTAATTCAATAGTACTTCAAAAATATATCTATTCAATGCCTATAATACTTTCCATTAATAGATTCAAAGTTATATTGATTTACCAAACTCTAAATATAACCTAATCCCAATAAGTAAATCCAGGATTTTCATTAATATTCACATATCTGATTATAAAACATTACTCCGAATTATCCGAATTACAATAAAAAAAAAAAAAAAAATTCTCTCAATTAAAAAGTTTCACGCAATCAAACTAAATATAGAATCTTCATTTGTATTCTCCGAACCTATTGTCTATAAATTAAAATCCTATTAATATCTTTACTTAATTAAAAATCTGTATTGAACCAATTACAATGTGACAAAGAATACATATAAAATATAAAAAATTAATATTTGGTAAAGTAAAATAGTCTATCAAAGTAACTGGTTTTGGTTTTTAAAGATATTATAAGAATATCCTCTATTCGAACTTCCGCGAAAAATTTTTTTCCCAAAAAGTTATTCGTTTTTTTTTTTTTTTTGATATTTCAGAAAAAACTTCATTTTTATAAAAAAACTCAATTCTCTTCGTCATAAAGAAAAAAAAAGGATAGATTTTCCTCGTCTTTTTGAACAGCTCCCAAAACTAAAGTAAAACTAATACCCCCAAAAAATATTTGTCCATAATGCGTCTTTGGCAACAATCGCATAGGCCTCAAAATCCTTCGGTGGGAACTGATGTTGGAAACAATGGAAGTTATGTTCCTTCAACACCTACTTCACCCACCCCTGTACCAGCTTCTGGACTTTTGCTCATCCGTGTTGTTGAAGCTCGTGGGATCTCTTTACCTCCAGGTATAAGGCCTCCACAAATTCCACCACATTTTTCTTCTTCAACTCCAACAACTACAAGGGGTAACAGAGATAGTATGCAAAGGAAACAGTGCTGGTGGCTTCCTTATGTGGTTTTAGAGTTTGATAAAAATGAAGTCTTGATCGACGCTTTAGGTGGTGAAGTTCAAAATCCAACTTGGCAATACCGAGCAAATTTGTGAGTATTTGAAAAGAAACTTTTGGCTTTAGTATTATCTATATTTTATTTTTTTTTTGTTTTTGATCTAGCATTATAATTTTAACTTTTTGATCTGGTTTTGACATAGTGATGTTTCTCGTGAGTCTGATGTATCAGTACAAATTTACTTGCGTAAATCCACTCAAACTGGGCATCATACTAATGATATGGGAAACGACGTTTTCTTGGGTGGCGTAAAATTTTTACCTAGTTTTAATGATCCAAATGTAAGCGAAAAATAAATATTATTTTTTCACTGTTAGAATGCCATAATTTCATTATTAAACCTATTTTCAAAAAAAAAAAATTATTATTAAATAAACACAGAAAATGCATGAAAATTGGTTCCCTCTACAAGGAGGAAGTGGTAGCGTACAAGTGCACGTTTGCTACAAGAAGGATCATGTAAATATAATCATTTTCCTTTAATACTATTTTTTTTAATTCTAAATCTTTTTAACCTATCAATACTATTTACTAGGCAAATATCCCCTTGACGATTGATGCGTTTGATTTATTAAAAGTCATTGGTAAAGGCAGTTTTGGCAAGGTATCATATTTTCAAAATTTTTAACTTTACTAGAACTTTGACGATGAATATTCTTTTATCCTGCAGTGATTTTTCAACCTCATTTTTTTAAAAATAAATTTACATGATGGTTATGCTCATCATAACTGTTCTATTGACATATTAGGTCATGCAAGTACGCAAACGAGACACCTCTCGAATCTACGCGTTAAAAACCATTCGCAAAGCTCATATCGTTTCTCGGTCGGAAGTTAATCATACGTTAGCAGAACGCACAGTTTTAGCACAAATTAATAATCCATTCATCGTACCGTTGAAATTCTCATTTCAAAGTCCGGAAAAATTGTATTTGGTACTTGCTTTTGTTAATGGTGGTGAATTGTTTCATCATTTACAAAGAGAAGGACGTTTTGATGAAGAGAGATCGAGATTTTATGCAGCTGAATTACTTTGTGCGTTGGAATGCTTACATGATTTCAATGTAGTTTATCGGTAAGTAGAATATATTTTTTCTAGGTAAATATTTTTTTTTTTAATTTTTGATACCCACTAACCTTGGATCTTTAAATCTCATTGGAACAACTTAAATCCTCTTTTTTGATTATGATAACAATACTTTCGATATTCAAAGGGATCTAAAACCCGAAAACATTTTGTTAGATTATTCAGGCCACATCGCTTTATGCGACTTTGGTCTTTGCAAATTAAACATGACTGAGACAGAAACGACCCACACTTTTTGCGGGACACCGGAATATCTTGCCCCTGAATTACTATTAGGACAAGGTTATACAAAAACAGTAGATTGGTGGACTTTAGGTGTTTTATTATTTGAAATGTTGACGGGTTTGCCACCATTTTATGATGAAAATACCAATGAAATGTACAGAAAAATTTTACAAGACGAATTGAGGTTTCCAGAAGAAGTTGGGGGTGAAGCAAGAAGCTTACTAACAGGGGTTTGTATTCTTTATTCTGAACTGATCTATGAAACATTTTAATGCATCATTATTATTAGTCAACAATGTTTTTACTAATATATTTATAATCAAACAGCTATTAACTCGGGAACCTAACCAACGCCTTGGCAATAATGGCGCACAAGAAATAAAGGATCACCCATTCTTTTCCTCTATTGATTGGAGAAGATTGATGCAGAAGAAAGTACAGCCACCGTTTAAACCCAGTGTGGTATGTAACAATAATGAAATCCTCATTTTGGATTAGTTTTAATACTAAAAATAAATTTCACTTCCACAAGGAATCTGCCATTGATACATCAAATTTTGATGAGGAATTTACCTCAGAGACACCCTTAGATTCTTATGTAAATGAGCCGCATCTTTCAGAAACCGTACAGCAACAATTCGTCGGTTTCACTTTCAATCCTGCTCATGACGGATTAATGAGCGGAAGTATGGCAAATTCAGTACAAGATCTTTAATTATTCATAAGGTGACATTAAGCAATCTAGGAAGAAAAAAATCTACGACATTTTTCGTTTTGTTTGTATTATAAAACGTAAAAAGGTTCCAATTGGTAAGATCGGAAAGATCCATGTGTTGTGTTATATATATTTTTTACCCTTTTTTTCTTGTTTTATATTTGTTAGCTCTTTTTTTTCAATTTGTGTTTATATATCTTTCTTTTCTTTATTCATTTCTCATAAGATGTGGAATTTTGGCGAAAGAAAAAATTCTTTTTTACAAAACATCATCTGTTATATTCTTGATTCTTCTCGTTATTATATGAACATATATGGTGTAAACATGCCACATCGTTCTTTTTATCACAATTTTTCATAAAACACATGTATCACAACCAATTTTTTTATACATATATATATATATATATTGGTCTCATTTTTGCTTGTATTTTACTGTAGACCCTGATACCTTATCATCATTTTCTTCACCCATAACCATTCCGGTCGAAAGATTTTTTTTTTAGTAAATCGATCATTCCCTGTTTATTTCTTATTTATATAAATATTTTTTTTTTTCGTCGGTTTTTTTTTGATTTTTTTTTTTTTTTTTTTTTTTTGTTAAACGTTATCGTTGTTGTTTGTTTGTTTGATCTTTTTTTTTAAAAAAAAAAGGAAAAAAAAAAATAATAAGTATCAAAATCGAAAAAACAAAATTATCCTTGTATAAAAATTTGGTTTATATTATTGAATTTGGTAATTGTAATGGGATTTTCTGGGCGTATATAAATTCGTATAATAATTATAAAAAATATAAATGATACCAAATATCACGTTATTTGAAATTTATTTTTTTAAAGTTTTGATGCATGTCAAATCTTGCTTAACATGTTGACATTATCTTGCATAATCGCGAAGATTTATTTTTGATCCGATCAATAGATAATTTTTTTTACTGTTTGATAAGATTCAAAACATATAAGTAAAAAAAAAAAAAAACTTTTAAAATTGATAATATTTGTATCTACTTTCCTTGAAATGTCAAAATTCGTTATTTCAACTTTTCGTGGTCGTTTAACAAATAACGTAACGAAAACGACATTCAAGACAAATTTAATTCGTCCATTGTTATTAAGTCATAATTTTTCATCGACGTCAAATAATTATGCAGTACAAAATATTTCGGTATATGGGTCGGGACTTATGGGAGCTGGTATCGTCCAAGTAGCAGCACAATATGGATTTAAGGTAACAATGGTAGATTTGAATCAAGAATTTATTGATAGAGGAAAGGAAATTATTAATGCATCATTAAAAAGAGTAGCAAAGAAACAACATAAAGATGATAAAGCAGCACAAAATGCTTTAATTGAATATACTTGGTCAAACATTGAAACTGATATTGATAGTGTAAGAGGGGCCGAAAAAGCTGATTTGATTGTTGAAGCTATAGTTGAAAATTTACAAACAAAACAAAATTTATTTCAACAATTAGATAAAGTTGCTAAACCCAATGCTATCTTTGCTTCAAATACTAGTAGTTTACCTATTTCAGAAATAGCCAAAGCTACTCAAAGACAAGATAAATTTGCCGGATTACATTTTTTTAATCCTGTACCTCAAATGAAATTGGTTGAAATCATTAAAACTAGTCAAACTAGTAAAGAAACTTATAAAATTTTAAATGATGTTATAATGAAAATGGAAAAAGCTCCTGTAATCTGTAAAGATACTCCTGGGTATGTAAAAAAAAAAATAATATATATTTATACTACGAGCAATTATTTTTTCTTTTATTAATCTTCCTTTCAACATCATCAAAAGATTTATTGTGAATCGATTGCTTGTGCCTTATTTAATGGAATCTATTCGACTAGTGGAACGTGGTGAAGCTTCTATGAAAGATGTTGACACTGCAATGAAATTAGGTGCTGGAATGCCAATGGGCCCATTTGAATTATGTGATGTAAGTTTTTTATATCACTCGAAGAGAACTTGTTCCTGCATAATATCAAAACAAATTTTTTTAATCTATTTGATTTCTCGAAAAAAATATTTCTTAGTTTGTCGGTTTGGATACCCTCAAGTCAATTGTTGATGGATGGCGTAAAGACGGAAAGATTGATGCTAATCTTGTTGCTACTTCTAAAATTTTAGATGATTTGGTAGAATCCGGACATCTTGGTAGAAAATCTGGAAAAGGATTTCATAAATACGTCTAATTAAAAAACTTTTCTAAAAAAAAAAAAAATTAAATTAAAATTCCGTATTTAAAAATATAAAATTGCTTTGATTATTTGGCGCATCAAATTCATTTGATTAAAAGTTATTAAAAATCAATTAAAAGTTTTTAATAAAATGTTCAATTCAATATTAAAATTGCTATTATTGATTAAAAAAAATTAAAACAGAAATTAATTTAAACTTTTTTTTATTTTAAATTGTGCAAATTGCTTAATAAATCTAATTGGATGTAAATTTTAAATTATCTATTATTATAATTCTATATAATTAATAATTATAAATATAATAAATAGAATATAAAGTATTATTTTTAATTTTATAAAAATTAAACTATATAACAGTCGCATATCACAGTAATTGAAAATTTCACTTTATAAGTTAACTGTTAAAAATTTTAACATACTGCATATACAAATCAAAGTAAAATATCATATAGGAGGTTTTTTAGAAAATAGGATTCTGACTAAAATTTAATTCTTATTACATTTTAATCTAATATTATCAAAAATTAAAATATAAAAAATTCTTAAAACCTCATTTTTCTAACAAACCTTTCATATAAATTTTTCATTTTTTTCAACATTTCTTCCCTTTTAATAATTAATTTATATTTTGAAATTATAAAAATTATAAGAAGTTTTATTTTAAAAAGCTTCTTTTTTAAAAAAATTATTTTTAAAAATTGAAAATAAATATATGAAAAAAATAATTTTTTAAGTTGTAAAATAATTATTCAAACAGTTTTTGTATAAAATGAAAATTAAATTTTTTAAATTTAAAAAAGCACATTGAACTAATAATATATGTTATAATTTAACAAAATAAAAAAAATAATATAAAAATTGTAATTATTCAAGCTTCAACTTGATAGCATGATGGTATAAAAAATAATTGTTTCTGGTTTATGCTGGCGCTCCAAAAAAAAGTTGGTATCACTAACAATATAACGATTGCTTATTATTGCAACTCATGATTTTTATCATTAATACTAAATATTATTTTTATATGAAAAAGAATCTTTTCAATATTTATAGTTTTTAATATAAATATTCAGAATTTATTATGACATATAAAACTATTACAAATTTTATTTTATTAGTTTTATATTTATATTATTAATAGATTATATTATATAGATAAACATATTAAAAAAATTTAATAATTAATTATATATCCTTTTTTTCTATAATCTCACTAATCTGATCTGATACACTATCCACTAAATTAAAGAAACCATTTTGATTAATATTATCCTATTTCCGCTAAATTATATTTTAAAAAGCATTTATACTAAGCATTTTTTTTCTAATTCAATCATTAATCTTTCTTCACTTTTTCTTTAAGAATAGCCTATAAATTCTCAATCAAATTCAAATCAAAAAAGTTTGTAAGCCAATCGATCACTGGAATATTATTCATTACAAAAAATTTACAGGTAAATTTTATAATATGAAATTGATGTATTATCTTGCTAGTAATACTATCTATAATCAGCATAATAAGCACTAGGAAATAGTTAAAATATAAGAATTTTATAATATTTATAGAATTCTTTCTTCCTATAAATAACATAATCCCAAGTATTCTTGATAGCAAAATAAACAAAATATATTTTAAATATACACTTTATACATTTATAATTTATTAAAATAAACTGATTGTTATAAATTTATTTAATAAGATACAATTAAATTACAAATAAAATTATCTATTAATAAGTATGATTGCTATATATTTTTTCAGTTTTCATAAACCAACTATAAATTTACTTAACACAAATCGACTATATATATTATAAATCAGGATGATATTATCTCTATCAATTTTATAAAATTCAACTCAATATTATTTCTTAGATTGTCTAGCAGGCAAATTTGCTTACAAAATTAAAAAAATTATTAAAATATTGTTAATCATTTGCAAAATTGATCTACAAATGAACTATAGTCAATCAAATTAGTGTTACTGAAATCAATCATCAAATTAATATATAAATTAAGTAATAAAATGATTGACATAAATTGATTACCTAAAATAATAGTAAAATTGATTTACAAAGACTGGTGTCCTTGGCTCAGTGGTTAAACCGTGAGTCTTCTATTAAGCTAAAGTTTCATTACACAGCAATAGGCCATCAGTTCA